CAATCTTGGTATGAAAATCGAGTGACCACAAAAAATATTTACATGCAATATACCACTTTTGGAACAAAACAACTTAAACAAGCATAGACCATTTTCATATGATAGTGAAAAACTTAAAGATTTTTTTGCATTTTAAATTGCTTTTTGAGCCTTGGACCTCCTAGGTTATCTTGAATTTCTTCTACTTTCCATATTTGCATATTATCTAAATCTGCCATCAGTTTTAATTTCAATACTGGACACACCAGCCACCTCGCCAGCCACTGAACTAACGTGTGTAATTCGAAGCTTGTAGGTTGTTTATCTGGTATTTATACGCTGAGAATGCGACGCTCAGCCTTGGGAACTTCGTGTTTATTGTAGGTAAATTTTCAGTGGTACGCTACCAGTTATAAAATCTTTCGTTTGGGGTCTACAGAAGATAGATATTTAATAGACATGGGATATGTAAATATGCAAATACAATGCCCTCTTTGTTTACATCTGATCACACAAGCGCATGCATAAAATGCAAAATTTACAATGGCTTCAAATGACGCTCACAAAGGAAAATCTTATTTGTTTCTGAAGATCTACCGTCTTTTCTCTAGTCCTTTAAAACAATTCGAAGCCATTCTTCGCGAGCATTTCTCTTCTTGTTCACCATCGGCTGTAGTCTCCTACGCAGGCTACATCGGCTGCGCCAACAACACTCAACAGGGATTTTAAAAATTGCAAATTCACGCGTTCTGCTGGTCGGACAGCCATACAAAGCACAATGAGAGCCAACCATACTGTTCAATATTACTTCAAACGTTTAACCGTATCCTGACATACTAAAACAACGGCAAAAATACAATTATCCAAACGCGGTGTATAACCAAAGCGTTCGTCCCCTCGATCATAAACTGTTCACGACGCTCGCTTTCTTCGATATTTTCATCTCCAACGTTCAAAATAGGTTCGTAATAGGTTCGTATGTTTGTTCGCTTTCTGTTTCAATTTCCATCTTGATCTCAGAAGCCCTCTAGCGCTTTGAAATATGATCTTTTGTTGGCATATTATGTTCTCACTCATATGTTTTCCTAATCACTCATCACAAAGCACCCCCTTTCCTCGTCACGTGACCAAAAATAAAAATGAACAATAACATATTTGTCACGTGGTCCAGCTAGCCTAACCATCTAATTCTATTAACCGTGGTGTTAGGTGCCGCGAATTTATTATTATGATAAATTCAAAATGTGCCGCGAATTTATCATAATGATAAATTCGGACATGTTTAAGAATTTGCTCGTATAGTAAATTCAAAGATGGAGCTCATGTTGGTTATTTTAGTGTATATGCGATCAAGATGTACGAAAGTTTGAGACAGTCGCATGAGATGAACAAGGTTCCTTTTATTTCGCGTCAACAATGTCAAAAGTGATAAGCTTACAGGAGATCATTCCAAAGTTTGTCCGAGTTTTTATGGAGAATTGTAATAAAATAACCTGAATTTTGTCACAAATTTCTCCCAACCTCTTTGGTCCTCCCCCCCCCCCCTCTCCCTCCGTACGCCAATAATGTAGAATGTCATTATAGTTATCCCTTCAAGGATTATCACTGTATTTGCCTGGCATGACGATCCGCCAAAAAGGTGCAGCTTTTGCGGGTTCAATGAAAAGAATTCATATTTTGTTGAATTTCCAGAGTAAAGTTGAGTGTCCCGGAAACGCGGATAGTAGACGAACTCTGTTCTATTGGGTACATGATCTGATTATTGTTGATATTAATAAATTTCTGAAGAAAAAAAAATTGTTAGATTTATCGAACACAGCCCTACCTTTCGACTTGTTAATATCCAAGATTCGCACTCCTCCCTTTAATGAGTAAAGTCGTGTAACTTGACAGTATAAAACAAGTATACAGCTGATTCTAATTGACCATTTGCGTAATAGACTAAATTTTTATCTCAACAAAAATTTCATTACAGCTTGAAAGAGCATCACAAAATTAGTAATATTCCAAAGTTTCGTTGCAAAATGTTGTAAAATGCGGAAAATATAGCCTTGCGAAATTTGCAATTTTCAGTCATTTTAGATTACAAACCGGAAATTGACAGCCCCGAAGGGTTTGGGGCTGTCAATTTCCCGTTTGTAATCTAAAATGACTGAAAATTGCAAATTTCGCAAGGCTATATTTTCCGCATTTTACAACATTTTGCAACGAAACTTTGGAATATTACTAATTTTGTGATGCTCCTTCAAGCTGTGATGAAATTTTTGTCTAGACTTGTTTAGTTCAAAATTTTGTCTATTACGCAAATGGTCAATTAAAGGACATTTGCACGTCAAAGTTGCTGAATGGACCAATCCCCAATTAACCAAAATTTTGAACTCAACAAGCCTGGACAAACTTTTCATCACAGCTTGAAAGAGCATCACAAAATTAGCAATATTCCAAAGTTTCGTTGCGAAATGTTGTAAAATGCGGATAATATAGCCTTGCGAAGTTTGCCGTTTTTCAGTCATTGTATTACAAATGGGAAATTGATAATCAGTTTGATCATCTGATTATCAATTTCCCGTTTGTAATGCAAAATGACTGAAAAACGGCAAACTTCGCAAGGCTATATTATCCGCATTTTACAACATTTCGAAACGAAACTTCGGAATA